GGGGTGCTTTGCCGGTGTGCCGTAGAGTTGGTCTGAAAGCGATGCAAATAGACAATTGCCTGTGAATCAACCGGTTGGCATTGAACTTCCCCATAGAATCAGAAGCAGAGCTTACCATCACCTGCTATCTGTCTCTGGTGCAGACCCATCTTGACCAGACCCGGCCATACAGCCTTGGGCTTCCGGACCATGCTGGGAAGCTGTGTGAAGGATCCATGGTCAGCCATGATCGAGACAGATCCATTGACCAAAGCATTTGGGAGGGATAAAGGAGGGCAGAAAGGCTGCTCAATAGATCAAAATGACATGGCCGGGGTGCAAATAAGGCAGAGATGTAAAGATGACAAGCGGTCGCCTGCTAGGGGCTTTTGATGATTTCAGGATCGAGAAACCACGTCAAGCAGCAGCAGCAGCAGCAGCAGCAGCAGTAGGGGGTGACCGGAGGCGTTTGCGTTCACCGTAGCCCGGAAAATGAAAGCGCCAAAGGCCCTGAAGCCATTCGCACTCCGCATCTCCAGTAAGGGCAAAGCTGGCAAAGCTGGGTGGTTGCGGCTTACTTACCCTTTGAATCAGGTGTCCGTTCCAGGTGCCTTTCTGGGCAAGGAGCCAGCTGCCTTCACTGATCACCCCTCTGATAGGCGCGTCGGCCTAGGCGGTCCGGAGGAGGGGCAGAATAGTAGATAAGCTGCAATCGCTGCGGAAATATCCTACAGGACTGCACTGGTGGGGGACGTCAACTGAGAGTTCGTGAAGATGTTCGCTTTCATTTGACGCCCTTGGAGCAGACATGATATTTAGGATGGGTTCTTGTGAAGGAAACAAATCAGAAAGAAATAGGAGCGTTTAAACGCGCGAGCACCCAGACAAAGTCTTACGGCCACAGAGCCTTCACTGCCGTGTACAGGTCCTCACTCTTCCTATTGTCTATCTTACTGTGCGGCTGGGGGTGCGGCAGACAAGCGGTGTTATTGAGCATTCGTTGTCCTATTCACTCGGCGCCCAAGTGCTGTGAATCGACCCACCAAAATCCTTTCTACCTGTCCGTTTGACAGTCAGGCAGTCACCAGTCAGTCATTCACAATGGCCGACAAGAACATTGTCGTCGTAGGGTAGGCAGACAGTGACTTCGAAACTCCAGTCCATACCGAGCAATGTTGCCTAACATGCGTGCAGCGCCGGTGTTGCTGGCCTAACAACGGCCTTCTTGCTGTCCAAGAATCCTCGGTACAGGGTAACCATCGCAGCAAAGCATATGCCAGGAGACTATGACATCGAGTATGCTTCGCCCTGGGCTGGTGCGAACTACATGCCGTGAGTCGAGATCTCGCGGAAATGGGCACGTACTCATTACATTGACACGGCTGAGCAGAGTATCTGCCAAAGGAACTCCAGCAGAAGAATGGGATCGGAATACCTGGCCGCCCTTCTTCGATTTGGCGAAGAACCACCCCGAAGCCGGAGTCCATTTCCAAAGGACGGAAATCTACAATCGTAAAAAGGACGTCTCTTCTGCCACAGCTGCCTGGTTTGCTGACCTTGTCAGCCCGAATCCGTGGTTCAGCACCCTGTTCGACGATGTGAGTGTACAACCCTCCTTGCTCAAACCAGCGCGCTCATGATTCTTGTCAGTTTCGCGAGATCCCCAAAACAGAGTTGAAGGAGGGAATCGACAATGCCACATGCTTCACGTCAGTCTGTATTAATACTGCAATATACCTGCCCTGGCTGCTTTCTCAATGTTTGAAGAATGGTGCCATTGTCAAGCGGGCCGTTTTCAAACATATTGCAGATGCCGCCGCTCCCGGGGTTCACCATTCAGGTGGCCCAGCCGACCTGGTGGTCAACTGTACCGGCCTCTCAGCGTCCAAACTTGGTGGCGTCGAGGACAGGAGCGTGGTCCCAGCTAGAGGTCAGATCGTTGTCGTGAGAAACTCGGCTCCTGCAATGTATGCCATGTCAGGAACAGATGACGGTCCGGACGAAGCTTGTTATATCATGACTCGCGCTGCTGGCGGTGGGACAATACTTGGGGGTTGTTATCAGAAGGGCAATTGGGAATCTCAGCCGGATCCAAATCTGGCGATACGGATCATGAAACGATGTGTCGCCATCTGTCCTGAGCTGACCGGCGGTAAAGGCATTGAGGGCCTCGACATCATTCGCCATGGTGTCGGCTTAAGACCTGTACGCGAAGGAGGAACAAGAATTGAAAAGGAGAAAATCAATGGCGTCTGGACAGTGCACAACTATGGTGCAGGTGGTAAGTTCCAACCTTGTTCCCCTCCTACCGGCCACATTTCTCGTCGTCTCAACTCTCTGGGGTCAGTCTGGCTCTTGAAGTCACAACTCGCAAGCTCTTCATGCTTTTCCACTGATTCGTCCGGTGCTAATGATATCCAGGGGCTGGATACCAGTCTTCCTATGGCTGTTCCCAAGCGGCAGTAAAATTGGTCGATGAAGCCCTGGGGGTTAAAGCCAAGTTGTAAGGGCCATGTGGAAAGTAGCATAGAAGTATAAGATTGGAGTCTGATACTGTAAACCTTAGCCGAGAAAGCAGCCGCGGCAATTGCGACGGTCCCGAATTGGAGGACTTTCATCTCTGTCTACAGCTGACTTCTTGAACCTAAATATAGGGTACACATCTCGTGCTCGTCAGCGCTTCATGAGAAGCCAGTAGCACAATTATGAAATGCCCACCTCAACACAGGATGACCGTTGGGACCTCGTCGGGAAGCTGTGACGAGTTCATCGGCAAGCTGACCTGCCGATCGGGAGATTGCCGACAGGGAGAAAGCAGCGCCGCTGACGTTGGTTTCCGAAGAATACTCCGACTATGCGCCACAGCCGTGGACTACTAAAGCTTTCGACTTTATGAATGGTGCTCCTCATTTCATTTTGCCGATGTTAGGGAAATGGGCTTCGGGTATGAGATTTGCTTTGGTACCAGGTACGGAGTACTGCCAGAGCACACGCAGGCGTGTGCCATTTGCCTGTCCGTGAGAAACGGCAGTTGGTACCGACAGCTGGTAAGAATATCCGAAATAGATCGTCAGTGTCTCGAAGCAGGGCTGTCGAGTCTGAGACATGTGCTCCGGAAAGGAAGCGATCAGATGCAGGAACCGGGCTTCCACGCCGCAACCACGGATTCGCTCCATCAAGCCAACGTCCGCGACCCAGGGGTCGGACGTCGCTCTTGGCCATGGCGTGTGCCCCCGGTACCTGTACCTTGTACTCGTCCCTGGATCGCGCTATGGAGCTTCAAAGTCCGTTGCGGCCTGCAGAAGAAACGGAAAGCAGGAAAGATAGAAATATTTTCACCGTTAACCAATGGTAGACGTCATCCGACACAGCGCAAACGCCAACATCATGCACTTCGGTATGCAAGCTGGTTCGCTGGCAGGCAACGATTCGCAGACAGCGGGAGACGAACTCAGTCCCGTGCCTGGATACTGCCCTCGCAGTCCAACCGAGCTCATACAAGCAGCCCATGGGTGTGAGTGCATGATTTGCTCACCAGGCACTCTCTGCCCCGCGCTCTTACAGTCAGGTCTCGGGGGTTTCTCTGTGCGCTGATGAGAAGCGTGTGTGACTCGTGGCCGGATGATGGTTGTACCTCGTACTTGTCCTTGTGCCTACGCTTTCTGCGGTGTTCCTTGCATGTAAGACGTTCCTGGTAATTCCTTCGCTCGCATCATTCACCGGCCGCGCGTACCCACGCCAATGGGAACGAAGCCTGGCAACAGACAGGGTATCTGGCCACCAGGGCAACCTTCGCAACTGCCCGCGACTCTTGGGCCTTAGCTCGAATTAAGGCTCAGCGAGCAGTGAGCCACCGTATGCGCAGGACGTGGTTCTCGACCTCGTACTGGTCGGCAGAACAGCCCGCAAGTGATTGGGGTAATATCCCCAGAACAGTGACGGTTGACCAATGCCAGCGGCCAGATCTGTTGTGAGCCCTCGCACGCGGAGGAGGTTGATCTCCCTGCCTGTGATGCAAAGATCAGCCTTGATGTTCAGCGACAAGTGAATCATATGGGGTCATCGGTGGCGTCCAGCCGCTGTTCTTTGCCTAGCTGAGTAGTCTAACGGGCCTCGAGGTGGCTTGTGGAAGATGGCAGTTTGCCTAAGAGAAGGAATGCCCCTCCTGCCGCCACGGCCGGTGTGGTTAAGGGACGACGGGCCTATTGCAATCCTCGGGCCATGGACACCCACGGCATCCACGCAGCTGCCGCTCCACTTGTTCTCGAGGCAGTTGTCAGTCCTTGTGCTCGTAACACAGCAGCATGACTGCTGCCCATCTCAGATCTGCGAGACTAAATACTGAGGCCATAGCTTAGCCGGCGAATGCAGACTTGTGCTTTACCTCCAGTTCTACCACAGTATATCTTTGGGCACCTGCATGCGCCTAAGCCGTGCTCGTCTGCGTGCTTGATTCGCGCACTGCATCGTCACTCGTCATTGGCATTCGCGCATTCTGCCTGCCTCGCCCTGCGTACACAAAGTCGCCTCGCTTGCTGCTCTACCACGTTTCCTGCCCCTTCTCCATCGACGCTCATTCCCAGCTGCCCTGCTCTCGAACCTGTGACTTCATATCACAGCCATACCACTCTTTCCAGATCCTTTACTCGAGCTGTGCAGCTACATATCTCACCTACCAACAGACTTCTCCACTTGGCTTGACCTGACGATCGATAGTCGACCTGTCAAACCAGCTGCATCTGCCAGAACCGCAATTGCGACCGCGACCGTGTGGCCCTATGACAGCCGAGTCTGAACCTCAACCTCGAATTTCCTAGGCTGCATATGCCATTGCTGCCAAAAAACGTCCCGCACTTTCTCATTTACCGCTACGTCAAACAAAACCTTTTTTCGGATGTCGATTAGGTCACTGTTGATGTCTCCATTCCAGCCTCGCGAATCGCCGCGTCGACTGAGCCATATCCCTTGACGAGTCGCCAACACACGCTCGGGACTCATCACCTGAACCTGCTGGGCTCAGCATGGGCCTTTGGCCATTCGGTGGAGGCAAGAAAGCCCGAACAAGCCACGGCCAAGATCAAGGCCAACAAACCCTCCTTGAGAAGTCGCGGCCGGATTTTGGTTCGGGAAGGAAAATAAGCTCGCCGCAAGAGGTCGCGACTATGAGCCGTGGAGGACAAGACGAGAAGCCCCGAAGGCTTTCTAAACAACGGCTACCACCTCAGCCAGGAAATGTCTCCCGGGTGCAGACTGCGCCTGTCAACGTGCCAGGTCAGGACTCAAAAGCATACAGACATGGGACCGGCGCAGCGGCTGTGGGCGACCAAGGCCCCGACATGTATGCACACAACCCGATGTCACAAACGAGCATTGGTCACGAAGACTTTACAGCCCTGCCGCAGGCCCCCACGTTGCTGGCCAGGCGTCCTGGATACGATCCGACGCTGCACCGAAGGAAGTCAAGCAAGAGAAAAGCCGAGGACTATGCTCGCGAAAGGGAAGTGCGAGCCATGAGCTCGCCCGTACACGGCCTGAAGAGGCCAATTACATATTCAGGCTCCGGTCCACTCCGGCGAGATACTAAACAGATTCCTGGAGACCTCAATCGAAGACTGCAGCGACCTACGTCGGAAGTCTCCTTGCCGCTACCGGAAACAATCCTGGAGTCCGAAGAACTTTCTAACCAAGCTTCCTTTAAGATCGGATTTCTGGCAGCACTGAGTCCCAGACCGACGTTGACCTATGTCGCCGACCCTCGACCATCAGTTGGAAAGCAACCTGCGAGAGTGAAGCCTTCGGTTGAGCAAGCCATTCAGGAAGAGGACCCCTCTTCGAGGAAAAGAATCAACGAGCTCGCAGACGACCTTGATGCTGGTGGGTTGAGGGAATTGATGGAAAGGGATCGAAAGCGCAGAGAGAAGAAAAAGGAGGCAGACCGTGCTCGCCTGGAGCGAAAGCTCCAACGCAAGGCCGACAGGCAGCGGGAGGAGGAATTACGTGGTCGCCGGCTCAATGATCCATCCGACAACCTGATGAATTTCAGGCCTCAGGCTAGGGAAGGAAGGGGCCACGGTCTTTTCGCCACCGAACCAGACACATCGCCATCAGCCATGGCAGAAACGCCTCCCAGCACCCAACACAAACCGGTCGATCCATTTGCTGATCCGAGAAGTCCGCCGGCTCGGCCCGTGCAGCCCATTCGAAACCCGTTCGAAGACGAAAAAGACATTGATATCACCCCAGATGCATTCGGCCATGAAGAAGAGCCCCCGCTGCCGGTCAGATCCCCGCTACGAACGGTATCTCCCGCTCAAGTCAAGGGAGAGCGAATTCCGCATCAGGCAGCGACGATTTCCCCTCCAGTATCTCCTGTTCAGCGACCTTCGGACCGCCAGAGCCTATCGCAAACCAGCGGGCTTGGTCGCGAACTCACCCCTGAAGTTGCAGAGCAAGGATCGCTGGATCGACGTGCTTCGGATCAGAGCAACCAACAGCTGAGTTCTTGGACCAGCTTCTTCAGGCGGGGCGGTAGACGAAAAGCCAGCACAACTGAGCGCGGGCGAAGCACTCCGTCCGAGTTCTCAAATACATCGCGAGAGTCATTTGCCGCTCGCAAGCAACAGCCTCCCCCCGTGGTGGTGCCCCGATCATTCCGCAGATCTGACGCCTCGTCGGTTCCTCAACGAACCATGTCCAAATTCCGCGAGGATTTGCCCGAACTGCCCATCTCACCGCCTGATTCTCGTGTTCAGTCTCCGGAAGCGATGACCAGTCCGCAGGCCGGGCAAGCGTCCAGGCAACATCGACCCTCGCTCTCTGGGACCCTGGATAATCGAAGTTTGGCCACCAGTTCGAGCAACGCAGCTCTAGATCGCGCCACAACCGAAGCCCATCATTCTCAAGGTATAGATATAGAATCAGGGGAAGGAGCAGCGGCAGTACCATTATCTCAGTCGCTCGCATCCGTTGACTCGGAAGGATCGTGGCTCTCTGGAAGACCTCCAAAGAGACTCTCTGGCCCCATGAGCCACCCTCTCCGACAAAGCCAGTCCTCAATCCCACCACAATCTATGCCGGGATCGTTTGGACCAGAGGATGATGACCTCGCCAATGATGAGTACTTGAACAGGTTAACTCCGGGACCCGGACGACACCGAGACTCTGTAACCTCGGCAGATCGGAGAGCTAGCAGCAATGTGATTGACTTGGAGCGCGAGAGGCAACAGAGTCCCGTGCCCGAGGTTCCGCAAATACCAGCTAGTCAAGGCGGGGATGAGACCTGGCATACTGGCATTGCACGACAACCGACTGTGGTTCGTCAAGCCACCCGCGCAAAATCCACAGAGGGACTCTTGAACGAGGCGGGCAGAGGTATGCCAGGGGCCTCTCGGCGAGCCAGCACGGAAGGTGACGAGGATGAAGGCGAAAGTACCGTGCCAGGAGAGGTTGCGGGGGCAGAATTACAAGAGGCAACCTTGTTGCGTGCAAGAAGCGTGGATTACAAGAACAAGGGGCACGCGCGCCATATGAGTGCAGGAAGTGCCCGGTTGCTTGACATTCGCCGCTCGTCGATACAGTCAGAAAGTACGCCCCGGAGTCCCAGCTTTCCCCAGATTGTATCACCAATTCAACGGGATCAGCGAGCACCCTCACAGGAGTGACTGAGCTGTGACCCTTTACGCCGACGAACACTGGTTTCCTTTGTCCATTCCTTATGTTGTCAACCACCGCCAGAGGGCGGCAGCTATTGGGACACCACTCGGATTGGTGCCATCCCTACGACATTCACGACGCCGAAATTTGATACCCCCAATCGCTCTCTTTGTTCCCTTTTCAGTCGGGGTTCCACTGTATACCTGCACTCTGCGTTCCGTGGGAACAGCCGGCGAAGCTTTGCAATGAGCGGGTGTATAAGAGCGAGCAATTGATCTGCGAGCAAGTTCTTGATATTTACTGGAATCGGCAAGCAGGGTTTGCACAAAAGAGACAGATAATAGTTAATGCCAGGAGCATTTTCCTCCAGCTGAGTCCTGGTCGATTCGGCAGATACGTATAGCAAAGTGGGATGAGACAATGTGCTGTGGTGCCGGCGAGGATCAGAGTCAGGCACGAGTAGCAGGTAGCACAACGCATCCAGCTTCCAGAGTCGACCCGATTCAAATCGTCAGTGACAGTGAACGCCGCTATAAGAGTAAGAATATGCGATTTGATCCCAGAAGAGGGCTTTTTCAATGCGAAAGGCGTACAAAGGGGGATGCTGCTTGCCGCTTGCTGCTGGCTGAGTGTTTCGCCTAAACAAGCGGCAGGATCACGCACCTCCCGCAACGCAGTACGGAGTACTCGTAAAGTATTACCTTGCCTTCACTTGGCCGTCACTTGGGTGTCACGCTGGTGCTAGGTGGGTGCGGCGTATCAAATTGGTGACGTTGGATGACGTTATCACTTGCATTGCGGATGGTGGGGGGCGGCCACCAGCATCCGGGAGACAAGAGAGCGAAGGTTGTGCAAATCTCAAATACTGTTTTCCCATTAATCAGCGGCTTCGAATACGGACTCCCGTTTGGTCTCGATCCTTCTCTTGAATCACCTCAATATTACTCTGCCTCACAGCACCCTCGTCCCTCCACAATCTATATAGCCTTCACCCTGGACGTCACTCTGCGTTCATCCGCCGTCAAAATTCAGCGCCTACTCCCAACCCGCCAGCTACTTTCAGCAGCTCGAACACCCCCACTTCGAACCAGTCCACGCCTTTTCACCACCACATCAGCCAAAATGGTCGTGCACAACCTTGCAGAGTATGTAGCCTACCATCAAGCCAAGCTTCGTGAAGAACACGCGCGCAACAACCCCCAGCCTGCAAAGAAATACGGTGTTAACCCAATCCGCAGCAAGTCCTCCTACACGAGCTCGATCGTCCAAGGCCCTGCCGATAAGCTGATCGTCCTCGACTGCTTCGCCACCTGGTGCGGTCCTTGCAAGGTCATCGCGCCCGAAGTCCTCAAGTTCTCCAACTCGGAGCAGTACAAAGACAAGGTCGACTTTTACAAGGTCGACGTCGACGAGGTGCCCGATGTCGCCCAGGAACTCGGCGTGAGAGCCATGCCTACATTTATGTTCTTCAAGAATGGCGAGAAGGTCGACGAGGTCGTCGGCGCCAATGTCCGTGCCTTGGAAGCGGCCATTCAGAAGCACATTTAAACAACTGTACAAATTCTTCAGCGAAACCACAAAGCTTTCTCGTCCCGCAATGACTCCACCGGCACCCGGTCGATAACGCGATTCCAGGCGTGTGGCATCTATCTACATTGTGAAAGCAGGCCGGAGGATCAGGGACCAAGGTAGCGATTCACTCAATGAGCTATTCGGGGTCTGCTCAGCGAATATCGTCTCCTCAGTTAATGGGCAGAAAATAAGGAAAGAGAGAGAAAAGAAGAAGAAAAATGAATAGAACCCTGTCACAAACACCCGTCGCTGTTTGTTTTCTTCCCTTGAATACAGCATGTTCTGGCAATTGCAAGATTTCCCAGTTTCACTCCACTTTGCCCTCTGTACGTCGCTGACCACAACCTGATGGCGTGCCACCTTTTTCTGCTCGGCACCGGGTTTGAGCTTCCATTCACGGGTTCTGATTCTCTCTCGCGCGCGAGGGACACAAAAGATCACTAATCATCGCATAATCAATTGACAACAGATTCCTGCCAGTCTCGCTTTTTGCTGCCCACTCGAAGCTCGTCGGGACTCGTACACAGTACTGACCCCGGGTAGGGATCCTGACGGCGCGGATCACAGAATCAAAAGGGGCACAAGACCTGGCCAAGGTATTGAGAGAATTGGGGAGCAATGGAAACATATCATCGATAACGACCCGTTACGAGGTGAAACGAGAAAAGCAAAACCCACCGCTCGACATGCTCACCCCACGAATCCGCCGTCGAGCTGGGTGTACATATTATCGGACTATGCACCTCTACTCGGACTGATCTGATCTTAGGTTGGGGGGGACATGTGTGTCATTTGACCGACGAAGTGTGTGTGGTTCGTCCTTATCATCGGGCCAAAGTTGGGGGGTGGAGGTGGTGGAAATGAATGGTAAAATCTACTGCAGTCAGTCAGTTCTGTAGACTCGTTGCTTGGTTCGATCGGTCTTCTCATTCTGATCTCTAAATGCTAAATGCCAAACGCCCAATGCCGATTGCCTGGGTATCTTGGTGTCTATCGATAATTACCTAGGTACGGTCATGCCCACACTCACACTCACGCCCGTCCCCACACGCGGTTGATCCTCAGCCGTCGAAAGCACGTCCTCGGATTTCACACAGCCGCCTTTTCGGCACAATCGCCCGCGTCCGTCAGTGCGTGTAGACGAAAAAGGGATTCTTCAGGTCCGTCTCGTCGCTGTAGGCCAACTTCTCCCTCACGATGGCCTTCTCGTCCTCGCTCATCTCCGCCAGCCGCTGCTGGTTCTTCCTGTTGAGCCGGTCGTTGCAGTAGCGCAGGGCAAAGCACAAGCAGACCTGCGCCGTGAGGCACGCCACGATGGCGATCTTGCCGCTCTTGTAGCCGGGCGCTTCGCTTTCCTGGAACGTTTGCGTGCCCTGGAAGGGAAAGGCGGCGTTAGCGTTTTGTGCCACACGTAAGTCCTGTACTCATCCAATGCATTCCGTCCTGTGCCGTGCAGTCCCATTTGATAGATATGACTCTGAGCAAGAGGGATAGGGGGTGGAGCATGGGGGAACAGAAAGATGGGGGTTTGTTTTGTTTTTTTTGTTTTTTTGGCCGTGTGCTGCTGGGCGGACCGGACCGGACTGGACTCACCAGGATATTCCCCGTGCAGAAACCGACCAAGGTCAAGGCATTGGCCGTGACCTTTTTCGAATGGCCCGCAATGTTGGACGCGTTCCACGCCAGGAGGAGCATGAAGGCGGCGCCGAACGTTCCGCTGAGGTACGACGCGAACAGCAGCGCGCCTTTGCTTTTTGGGATGCCGTCCGGGTCGAGACCGTACATCAAGCCCGCCGCGACGATGGTCGGGATCAGACAGATGAGCATCACGAGCGACCGGTCGTTCCATCGATCGCTGAGATATCCTGACAGGAGCACGATGAAGATCCCCACCGCGCCCGTGGGCATGTTGAGAATGAGCGCCTGCTGGCTGGTGTACCCGAACGTCGTGAGCAGGATCGAGGAGAAGTTTGACAGTCCACCTGATAGGACAAGGGCCCGGTCAGTTCAGCACGGCTCATCATGGTATGGTCATGGAGCATCAAACTAGCGCCGTGTGTGTACTCACCGTTGGGGATCGACGTCAGCATCACGGACAGAAAGACCAGCCAGACTCGGACGTCCTTGACCGACTCGATGACCTGCACTTTCTTCAGCTTCGCGTTTTGGGTCCCGGACTGGTTCTCCTTGACGCGAAGCAGGGCCGCGACTTTCTCGGCCTCGGTGAACCGCACTGCCTTGACCGGCGAGTCGGGCAGCAGCATGAACACGCCGAACCCAATAAGGACGGTGATCAAGCCGATGATCAGGAAGAAGATGCGCCAGCTGGCGAACTTGCTGGTCGAAAAGCTGGCGCCGTAGGCGACGCCGGATCCAAAAATTTGTGTGATGCTGTTGCACACATAAAAATAGCTCTGGCACGTGATGCATATCAGTCAATGTGGCTCCAAGCAAGGAGTTTCACGCCCAGAGTCGTTCTTAGACGGGCTTTCCACTCACCACCCTGCGGCCCTGTTCCTCCTTCTTGTACCACATGGCGATTATCAGAACGAGGATCGGCGCCACAGGTGCCTCGAAGATACCGAGCAGCGTCCGGCACACCATCAGGCCGGCATACGAGGTGCACGCAGCCATGCAGGACAGAATGACGCCCCACAACATCACGTTGACGCCCAGGTATTTGCCTAGGCGGCTGATGCGCTGGGCGAGGTACTGGGTGGGGAACTCGGCGGCCAGGAAGCCAATGTAGAACATCATGGCCACGTTGCTGTAGTCCTGACCGACTAGGTGGGTGTCCGTGCGCAGACCCATCACGGCGGCGTAAGAGATGGTCGTTTTGTCCCTGTACAGGTGTGAGTAGGAGTGCTTCAAAGGGGTTGGGAGCCGTCGTGTTCGGGCGGGTCTTCAGCGTCGTCGATTTGGGGTGGCCGCTTCGAAAGCACTCACAGGTATTGCAGGAAATAGACGGCGATCATGCAGGGCACAATGGTGAAGTCAATCTTTCGCAACAGGCGCTTTGTAGCCTTGGGGTCTGCTAGGATGGCCATGGCCTCTTGTCGAACGCCATCGGCGTTCGGGTGGTCCTTCAGAAAGGCAAACGCCTCGTCGGCATCTTTGGTCGAAATATCCAGCTGTTCGAGTGCCTCGTCCAGCGATGCGTTTGTGGCGACGCTGTGATTCCTGTTCGCCTCCACGATTCGTTTCTCGTCACTTGAGCCCAGCATGGAGGGCTTGTCGGCTTGAACGTCCATTTCCAAGGGCGACTATCGGTGTACCGCTTGTTTGTGTAGGCTGGAGAGACGGCGAGACCGCTCACGCGACAACAAGATATATTTAAGCTCCTGAAGCATTCTCTCCCAAGGCCATGGCCAAGACCATGTTATCAACCACCGGGCAGAGACTCCACCTCTGACCTTCTGAAAGAAGAAGGTCGATCGCTCGCAGGCCGAAGGAGAAGTGCGATTGCTATCAAGCGGGATGCAAACGATGAAGTAGAAATGCCCGTAGGGACCAACACATTTCACGGCGGGATTGGTCTGCGCGGCAAGCGATATCGACTATCAGCGAGTACGCTGCAAATTCGGTATTGTAGAGTGTTGTCATTGACGGGAGATGGACGTCGACGCACAGTCGAGCTGCCGCATCAGGCAAAGCCCCTGCGTGATCTGCGGACAACATCGGGCAAAACTTACTCCCGGTATCTTTCGTACATCTCCCTCACTCCCTCAGCCATGGGCATCATGTGGCCGGATATCAGACGCCGAGCGAAGTACGAGGTAGGGGAGAATGACGGAAACCCGAGGAGTTCGCTCCCCCTGACGAGATGCTAGCCACATGAATGCCACAACATTGCCTGCACTGCTGCATATGACGTCCGTTGAAGCCACCCACACGGGGGCCCAGGGCCTGGCACTTTCATGCTGAAGAGATTGCGTTACTTCCGGATCTTGTACGTCTTTTCCTGGTGCTCGGCCTCGAGCTTGTGTATCTTGTCGTGCTCCCGCAGAGCATTCGCCGAAGGGAGCCATTTCTCGCAGTAACTACAAGGGACGCGATCCGGATTCATCTCGATATGGAAGTTTCCGTCTTCTTTGAAGTCGAGGGACTTGAAGTGCGCGAAGTACTCCGAATACCGCAGTAGCTTGTCCATGCACGCGCCTATAGCAAGCTGTATGGTCTCTGGCGTGCTCGTTGCTTCCGATGTGACCTTGGCTGCTGCCGCTGCGCCGTAGGCAGTTGGTATTGTGGCGACGAGGAGTGGTGCCTTTCAACAGAGCGTGTCGGTGGACGTGTAGCTGTCGTCGATGGCAGTGACAGTCAGCAGGTAAGGACGTCTGTGTTATTTCACTGGCCGCTCGCCTTCTTGGATGCGGTTAGGTCGAGGCTCGTCCACAAAAGTCCCCTGAGCAAGCGTTCCACAATCTTCAGACCTTCTCTGTCTTGTTGATCAGTGAAATTTTCTCTTGACCTGGGCCTCAATTGAAGTAGAATCAAGAGCAGACATTTTCAAGCATGGGAATCAAGAGCCTTTAAAGTATGTTGGGCACATCATCTCCTGCATCGTCTTCAATCAGGCAACAACATCGCTTAGCAGATGCCGAAAGACAAGGGAGGTTGACATGCAGATATTGCTATCAAGCAAGGCGTCAAGTCAAGCATTGGGCGGCATTTTGTCTGCAGCAAGGCGTCGAAGACCGGGCATGTGGCAGTAGTCAGTCACACTTGAGCAAATACGAGCCTGATCTCCGGCACCCAAGTGTTCGGTGGCATCTTTGAGGCAACGGCAACGAAGAAGATACATTGGTGAGACGGCCAACAACTTGGTCCTGATCGCTCGTGGAAGAAGTGCGCAGGTGAGTACTTGTGTACAGGAAGTGGTAGGGTTGAGGTTTAGGTAAGAAGAGCTATGTTAGGCATAGCTCTTGGCCCGCACAGTTGTGCCAGGCTTGCGCCCGGAGAATTAACTAGGTACCCATTTAAGCTGGTGCGGGCTGCAGCATTGGGTGCATGCGCCACAAGGCAAATTTTTGGTTATACCTTGAGAACCTCTGCTGTTCATTTGATCCTCACGGTGACATCCATGCCGCGACCTCAGGTCCCAAGCACGCCCCAGCCACTAAAGCAGGACCTTTCGCTTGTTAGGCGAACAATCAGCCTTCTCACGAGCGACTCACCAATGGCGAACGGCAATCTGGCCTGGGCCAGACCGTGGTATCTTGAGCTGTGCTCAGCCATCCTCGAGCCCATCCGGCAAAGCTGAAGCGTGTGCACAAAAGGTTGGACCATGATGGCTCTCACCCGGTACAAATATGGATTGCGAGCTGATCATCTCCCGCGTGTCCGACATGTCACTAAAGTCAGGCCAATATCACAATCGCCGTCTACAGTAGCGACAGCTGCACTCCCATCATGGCTCAGCTCTGCGAAGCCTGTGCAAGATTCGCTACCTGCAATCTCCCAGCAAAGCAGGTATGGTATAATGCGAAGTTCCCACACTATGCTTCAGGTACCGAGCTTCATCAGTCGGCGGAGAGAGGTTGCCATCTCTGCCAATTTATCGAGGCGGCTCTACTGAGATACAACCGGACACCGGGCGAAACAAGTCTGCCGGACAGGCAGATATGGTTACAATGCGTGCAGCAATCGCACAACCACAATACTAATGCCATTCAGATTTCCATCGAGCCATTGGGTTTACGCTCTGCGGGCTATAGGGGACTTGATACCTATGACGTCGATCACTGTCTATGGCTACCCGCGGAGGACGATACTGAGCAAAAGCTTGCAATGCTGGAGGCCATGTCCAACGGGCCACTGGGCAAGCTCGGACCCGTGGCCGGCGTCGTCGTTCACAATACAGGTCGCATATACTTTTATCGTGGACGGACTTTGACAGCAGACGTTTTTTATGCCATCCGACAGCCGTTTTATCGAGCTGAGATACACTGCGTTTTGATTCCAGGTGAGTCCCGCTCGATATATCGACATTACTGGCTCAGACGTGGAATAGACCACATTTCCCAAGCACTTGATACTGGCCTGGGACTTAGTGTTCAGGGCGTACAAGATGATAGCACCGGTTCCTTCGCCAATCTATTTCTCATCATCGCCTGGCTAAACCGATGCTTGACTCATCACTCCACCTGCCGTGGGTATGCGGAGGGTGCCGGCCAGCTCCCATCCCGCGTCCTCGATGTTGGACATGTCAAAAGTGAGGCTGTGCACCTTCATATTTCCAAGCCCGGAGAAAAAGATCGATACATAGCATTGAGCCACCGATGGGGCAGGACCAATCCATTGACAACCACCACCAAGACTCTACCCGATAGAGTAGCCGGCATCGCGTTGACCTCACTGTCGCAAACATTTCGTGAGGCTATCTACGTGGCACGAATGCTTGACATCAAATACCTGTGGATCGACTCTTTGTGCATTCTCCAAGACTCACATGATGATTGGAAAGAGCAAGCTGCTCTAATGGGTACGATATATCGCCAAGCCTTTGTGACAATTGCTGCAACCGACACTGAGGATGCGTCGTCGGGCTTGTTCTTTCCACGAAGTCCGACCAAAGGAAAGCCATGCAAACTCCACTTACCGTTGAGGAAAGACATGTTTGCTAGCGAGTCAGGACCTCTGTATGCGACAAGCCCTCACTTTCGGCGTGGCAAGGATATTGGCCGCGTTAGAGGCCCATTGGACACTCGTGCGTGGGTCTTGCAAGAGCAGATTCTGTCGGGCCGGGTGTTGAACTTCACCAAGGACCAGGTCTACTTCGAGTGCCTGAGTACAGAGGCTAGTGAGGTTCTGCCGTACACTCTGGAGAATGCGATGGACGACGAGTCGCACTATGTCTCGACACTCAAGCATGGTATAGGCGGTCTGCTACCGCACGACAAACCAGAAGCCAGCACGTACTTGCATCGGGCCTGGTATCTCATGGTGGAAGACTACTCGCGTCGACAGTTGACTGTGCCCACCGACAAATGGGTTGCCATGCTCGGTATCGTCACGGAAATGCAGCGAGCTACAGATGATGTCTGCTCATTCGGGCTTTGGAACCGCTGGCTGGTCCATGACTTGTTATGGGCAGTATACAGCGCGAGCTATCCTAGGACCAGCCTTCAACAGGAAAAAATGATTACTCCCGGGCCAACTGGCAAACGGAACACATCCCTATCAGGTAAGGGTCCTAGACCACATATATAAGCCAGGATTACGGGTTGATTGATTCATGAGCAGTGCCTTCCTGGTCCTGGTTACAAATCGAGGGCCACATCAAATATCTGCCCGACCCATACAACGTTGTCCTGCAAGATCAAGTCCTAGTGCAGAAAATGGAGTTGCAAAATGCCGACGCAACATGCCCCCCCGGCGTCGACCACAAGAATCTCCCTCGCCTTCGCATCCGAGGACCCCTTAAACCTGGCATCCCTGCTCTATTCGTCGCTGATGCAGATGAGGACAACTCTGAGGGCTCAGGGCAAGTTGCCGGACCACCGGACACCAGTTCCCAGGAAGCACTAACATCTCAACACGAATACCCTCGCATGGCTGAACCAGACTTTCTATCGGCTGCACTCGACCCGACAGATGATCGTGCCACACGCACGTGGCGTATCGCGAGCGACTTGGAAGAGGAAATCTACGGGCCCAAACCAATGATGGACGAAGACGAACCCATAATTGGCGTAATACCTCAGGGTAGATTGAACCATGTCATTCACGACCATGTTCTGGCCGATAGACCCAATGCAGACCGTCGGATGACGGAGCTGTATGCGCGAGGCACCGGGTCGGACGAGCTACGTCACACCTTTCTCAAAGAGAAAGCTAACAAATATGTTGTTGCAACAAAGATCGAGAAGACGCCCATCGGTTTCTGGGCACCGGACATTGATGGCGAGCTCCCCACGGCAAGGCTCGACGAGCTGGGGACTCTTTTGGATGAGGAGATAACTTCTCTGCTATTTGTCGGTATATGTCGTGGTCGAGGATGGGTCCGATGTCTGGGATTGCAGCTCGTTGGAACTGGGGTAGAGGCAATGCTAGCGAATGTGTGGCGTCGCGTTGGCATGGCATGGATACTCGAGGAGGCTTGGGACCAGACCGGAGGCATCGAGACAGAAGTCACGCTGATCTGAAAACGGGGCATTTGTGGATAGGAAGCAAGGTCAGGTAGCTCAGTGGTATGGCTCATACGATCTCCACATTGAACTATATCCAGTCACGTGAAGGCAGCTCTCTTTTGCGTGTAACGCTAGGCCCGATAAGAACTAGGCTTCTCTGTGCTCCAGCACCGGAAATGCGGGGAAACTAGACTTAGAGCGGTGAAAGGACGGCCGAAAAGAGCGGTTTCAAGCGCCGCTTTTGACCAGCATTTCACCCACCTTTGCACCTACACTCTACCCAGTACTGTGTAGCTGGCCAGTCATGATAACATGTTCTCGTGCCGAAAACACAACAACCCTCCAGGCCGTCTACCATCATGTTCCTACCTACTGTAGCCAGAGTGTTGTGGTGTACAAGAAGGATTCACCGTCCCTTCCCGTCCGTCACCATGGTCTTCTAACAAAGAGATCTACTCCATCTCTTCCACCGAGCAAGATGGTGCCTGTGGCTAGCGTAGGTAGTGTTGAACTTGGCACCAAACTATAAGAGACATGTAGTCTCTGGCTCTTACCTACCAAGTCCAAGCGTGCAAGGCACTGCCAACTTCGGGGAACCTTTCTCAGTCGATTGCGCGGAAGCCGTTCTAGCAACTGCGATGTTGCTGCTCTGGCAAGCCCCAGACCAGTATGCCCCTGTTTCCAGACTAAGCAAGTTCTTATGCCAAACTAGGTAAGGAAGAATGGGTCAAACGGCAATTCCATTATTGAAGGTTGGAACTGGCGTTTTCGTTGTGTCTATTCTGCATGCTAAGTGATGCCAGATACATAATCGATCTCACAAATGCATGAACCGGGGGCGTTGGAGCCTGCTAGGGTCTGTTCGGCAATGAGCCTAGTTGAAATCCTCCTCATTCGAGTCTCAGGCGAATACATACATTAGCGACGTCGACGGAGTCCTCACGGCCTTAGCAGTACTCACCATGTGCCGAGTCTCCGCTCGAACCGACGTTGGAAAGAGTGGCATTCGAGCTTGCAAGGATTCTGGGAGTTCTGAGGGGAAAGCATATGCCAAAGTCATTCGACGGAACTCTTCACTCACAGAGGTCTCATTCTTTGGTCCGCAGTTTCAGTCCCCGGCGGTGCATAAATCAGCGACTCGGGCATTCTCCTCCTTTCGCTGTTGTACATGAGCGCGAAGGAACAGTGGACCACAATCCTCTCGAATCCTTGCTCGCTCTGGCACACGATTCTTGGACGGAATGCGTTTTGTCATTGAAGCTGTCAATGTCCTCTGGTCTCCTCTCGGTCTTCCTCTTCCGGCAGTTGGTCGGCGATGAAGTTTATGGTCAGCCGGTCCACGTCCCCCAAGCGACTGGAGTGAGTTGGGTGCTTGTCGCCGTCAGTACTAGTACGGTATTTGTGTTGAAAACGCAGCGAGGCGCAGCTTCGTTGCCTTCACGTCGCCAACGGGAAATATGCAATGCCATTGATAATGCAAACGCGACCGTCCCATAACGAGATGGCCCAGAGGGCTTTCAAAAGCCAAAATCTGAGTGCAATTCCCGAGCCACTGCGCTGAGCCAGGATGTCTGAGAATTTGGAAATCATTTATCGGGGAGGAGCCGAAGCTTTGGTGATGTTTGTTGGCCAGGGTAAGAGTCCCAGGATTGATTACCATATCCTACTCGAGAACAGTTTTCACGAAGTTTCGAATCCGAAGCGAGGGATCGATACAGGCTGATGGAAGCGAAAGGTGCAAGATGTCGGCGATTACTGTTTAGAGTAATTCTGCAAGGATCATATGGAGCCGTTCCAGCGGCTCTGTCGATATGCGACCAAATGCTGACTGCATGGCGACAGGCTGACCTATTCAAGCTTTTCGGATCGCTCCTCCTACACAGCTTCACCAACTTCCTCTGCTGATTGGCAGGGAAGGGCTACTACCCACGTTATTGCTGCACCAGCCCCAACCCACTGGTGGACGGACAATGGTGTGGACGGGGTCGAAGCAGGCTCGCTAACAACTGAGAATCGAGACTCACGATGCAGCAGTTGAGTCCGCCGACATTTCTTACCAGAAGTTGAACTTATCGCCTTTCTAGTCGTATTCTAAATACGCATTCTCCAAGAGCCGGTCGCGGCCATTTTTCCATTTCCATCGCGAACGAGATGCGGAGCTCATCGAGGCCGAAGCGAGCCGTCTCGTATTGGTCATATACAGAGACGCTCTATGGAGTCAACCTGGCTTGTAACGGCAAACAATGGAGAGAGACTAGTCTACAATGGTTCATGCCCTTCGTTTACGAGAGTCTGCGTCTGCCGTTTGTCAACCGTCATCCTCTCGTTTTGTCTACGTACAACCTCCGCGTCTTGGGTTCAGGTAAGGATGTTTCGCATTCATTCAAAGTCGACGAAGGAGCTAACAGCCACACCTCTGCAGTGGCACCAATCGCGGTTGCAGTTGGCATCTACTCCTAGAGACTTCGTCTCGTTTTTCTTACCCGATCAAGGCTGCGCATGGGTAATAGGTGCCGGGGTGGCAGCTAGGAGCGAAGGGGAGGCTATTCTTCTAAACATAGAAGAATTGCTGACCAACACACGAAGCAAGATCAGGAGCAACGACGAGGAAATGCAGATGTCTTTCCGCACCAGCCGACCATGTACTTTGTCCACATGTCCTTACACTCTTTCATCTGCGAGATTGTCGAGTACAGGCAGCCCTTCTTCCCGGACAATGTCTCGGACGGCAGCGTAGACGCCGCCTTTTAGCAGTCTACTACGGTGTGAAGCACCTAAGGTCACAATTACAACAAGGGCAACTTCCGGCCAATTCTAGGATCCAGGGGGGACTATGCGCAGACACTTACGTATTAATCGAGAGTTGAGTAGGATTGTACAGGGGCATCTCGGGCGCCATTCCTCCCAGCGACGATAATCGCAGTTCAACGAGTAGAAACTGGTCTTATTTTTGACCGCTCTTTCTTCTCGATGCCGGGGTACTTGTCGAGCCACTTAGTCAAACCGTCTCCAGGCCAGAGCATACGAGCAGGCGATGTCTGACGTAGCGTAGAGTCCGCACAGACTGCTCTCCCGTCGATGCTCGCCCAACCAAAGAAGTATAAAAGGCACGAAGATCTCCTTGGAAGTTGTCTCTCTTCTCTCCAGCACTCCCCATCTCCTCACAAAGCTCAAAATCCAGACACCTTAATCTCCAAACCCGTATCGCCGACGTCAAGGTCAGGTCAGCTCAGCTCCGCTCAACTTGATAGCCGACCATCATGAAGTCCTTCATCCGCCCATTGGCGCTGCTGGCTCTGGCAGCCTCCCTCGCCTCCGTCAGCGCCTCGGCCGTACAGCCCGAGGAGCGTGCTCCCCCTCGACGATTCATCATCCAGTGCGCCCACAACGACAACACTCTCACCTGCGACAGGACAACCCTTCGCACCGGGGCTTGCGATGGCTCCGACACGAACCCTCCCGTCGCGGCGTGCCACTGCACAAGTGGGGGCATAGTCACTTGCGGGGCGGACGGCGACTGCAGTGCGAACACGGTCACAGGATTTTGTCGAGGTGACGCCGAGTGCGAGTGCGTCGACGTCTAGGCGAGCACAGCACAGCACAGCCTCGATTCGAGCTCGCCTCGGCTTCATACACATGTAGCTGGGACTAGATAGTTGGAGCTGCAATCTCTCAAACTGTTAAGTGCCCACTATAGCGCGGAAGAAGGGAAGATCGTGTAGCTATCACCTTGAGATGTAACCGTTGCCATAGCCGAGACTGCAGCTCTAGTCCTGCAATGCCACGCCTAGCGGCAATCCTGGACAGCGTAAGAGCAGAATCGTTGTATCTAGATGTTCGTCATAAGGGATGTTCTCACCAACTCAGGTGACTTCTCAGTTGGCGCTATGATAGTATTAAGGCGACTGGAGACACGAACTAGATAAGGTATGGAGGGTTATTATAACGGTATTCAGTAGCGGGTGAAACAGGCATAGAGAGTAGAACTCAAGCTGTCTTACTGGGTAGATTGAGGTTACAACGAGACCGATACAAGGGTTGAGAGGAAAAGAGTAACCGTCCACGAGAGGAGTGAGCGAGGAGGGAGCGAGCGTTTTATAGACGGAGAAAAAGCAGCGTGACGGTGCTAGCTATTTTAGGAAGACTACGCCAGAGTCGGTTTAGGCGCCGATTCCAGCGACATTGAAATTGCGGAGAAACTGAGGCAGCCGTGAGGTTCATATGTCATTCCACCTCTTTATCCACATCACATTATCTAGAGCAGGATTCTGCTTGGAGGCAGATACCAGTTTCCGCTAACATGCCTCCGAGACTGACACCTGTGTCTTCACGACTCTTCGTCTGCCCGTCGTGCCAGCTTCGTTGCCGCGGCCTCGAGCCACCTCGTTTCCGCACCTTCACCTCTTCTCCTCAGCGTCATGCCACTTTGAACAAGAGCAAATGGGTCCGCCTCACGAACCGTAGCATAATCCGCCTGGCAGGTCCTGACGCGGCCCTGTTCTTACACAATCTCATCCCTGCAAAGATTCTAGACATCGGAGGCAGCACCAATCCGATATACACGGCCTTTCTCTCCGCGCAGGGACGCATCCTGAACGATGTCTTCATTTACCCGCCATCCGCGGAAAGTAATGGGGAAGAATGGTTCATTGAGGTCGACGAGGCCAGCGCGGGAGATCTGCTGAAGCACTTGAAGAAACACAAATTGCGGGCCAAGTTGCAGTTGGAGAAGGTGGACGCGGAGCGTATAGGCGCCTACTACTCGTGGCCGGCGCCAGAGGGAGAACACACGGCAGGCAATGGGGTGGGCGGACGGGATCCAAGGCCGGGAATGGGAATGCGGTGGCTGGAGGGCGACGCGGCCTCGAGGTCTCCATCCCCATCCCTATCCCTGGAGCAGTTACAGGACTCGGGATGCGAGCCGGCCACGCTGGAGGAGTACACTGTCCACCGTGTGCGGAACGGCATTGCGGAAGGCCAGTCCGAGATCATCGCCGGGCACGCCCTGCCGCAGGAAAGCAATCTCGATTTGTTTGGCGGGATCGATTTCGTCAAAGGATGCTACTTGGGCCAGGAATTGACTATCCGCACGCACCACACGGGAGTGGTCAGGAAGCGCATATTGCCGTGCCAGTTGTATAACAAGGACGGTCCGCCGCCGCCGGAACAGCAGGAAGTGCCTGAGTATAGGCCCGAATCAGGTATTCTTCTTCCGCCGCCAGGGTCAAATATCTCAAAACTGAGAGCAAAGGGACGGGGTCGGAGCAGTGGGAAGTGGCTTGGCGGAGTCGGGAACATAGGCCTTGCGCTGTGTCGCTTGGAGATGATGACGGATATTCAGTTGACAGCCGATTGCACAAATTACGACCCCTCCGAGCAGTATAAAGTGCAGTGGCAAGAGGGAGAAGAAACGGGCGAGCAGGAGGAAGTAATGCTCAAACCGTTTGTGCCGAAGTGGCTGAGAGAGGGCGTGGAGGCGAGCTTGAGGAGGAAAGAGCGGAGGAAACCCAAGCGCGAGGAAGAAGAGGAAGAGGAAGAGGTTGATTGATGAGCGATACCATACTAAATCGCCGGATATAGGCGCCGTCTATGACAATCTCATGGATTTCCTAGCGACAGCTCGCGGGGATTTGCGCAAACTTACGCATTTCGCTGGAGTTAAGCATGGTATCCGGTTGAGGGACAAACAAGCATATCGCTCATCGCGACGTGCCTTTTTGGAGTGCCCTGCTCGTGCCAGAGCTTCATTCTTTCCCCGAGGATTCATGCTCAGGGTTTGGCAGAAGGCTGATGGTGCATGTACCCTAGCCTATGGTCCACTGGGCAGATATCTGCTGGCTGTGGCTTCGACATTGCTTCGAAGTATCCGTTTGCTGCAGGCACACGGAGTAATTACGCCGCGGCTTGGCCTTCGATGCGAGCGAGGATCCTGCTGTCCTGTTCAGCCTTGACGCTGAGCGGGAACTCACTGGCGTTGTAGAATAACGTGCTGATCTCAACCACCATCATGCCCCTCGTTGGCGTTCCCAGCCGCCCATTCGACACTCTCAATGTTTTCCCACGGTCCCTGTGACACAACTTTCTTAGCAATTGCCAATGTTCGGAAAACGATGACGGCCGTGCCCAGTAGGACCTTCCTGTCCCCGCGGCCCTCGATGCGGCGCTTTTTGTCTTTTAGGAGGACGACGTTTTCGACATCACCAACTGCGAAGTTATCCTCCAGCGCCTCCTGGTCAATATCGAGCGCCTCACCCTCTTTGACCCAGCGCACTTTGACGGACCGATCGATAGACTCTGAGGATTGCGCTTCTTCCTTTGCCTGAGCAGCCTCAGCACGCGCTTGGGCTTCTCCGACCTTCTTGGCCATGGCATCCTCCCGTCTTTTCCTGTTTTCCTCTTGTATGCGCTTGATTTCCAGCTCACGATCTGTCCACGTGCGCTTCACACCATTCTTCACACCACCGTTGACGGAGGCGGCCTCTCTTTTCTCCAGGTCTTCCACCATTTGGCGTCTCCGACTGTCAAGGGCAGCGGTCTCAGCTAGCCGCCTCTGTCTCGCCTCTCGCGTCTGGTCATATTTCCGCTTCTCGTCAGCATCAGTTAGGATGTTGAGGGCGGTCTGCAGCAACTGAAACTTGTCGAGTGTCTCAGGCGTTGGCTTAACCTTGTCGGGGTGGTACAGCAGGGAAGTTTTTCTGTATGCGCGACGGATTTCCGCCTCAGAGGCTGTCGGCAATACCGACAACAATTCATAATAGTCAACTTCGGTGGCCACGGCTGTGGCACCTGGCGCCATTGTAGTTGTAGAACGGCTCGAGGTATGCCGGGTCGTGGACAGATGGGCAGTCAACGAGAACCGTTAAGAGGCGACAACCTGAACTTCTGGCGCATTTGGTGAGAGATTCACCAAAGACAGAGCCACCAAAAATGTGCTCAATGCTCCGCATGAATAATACGGTGCGCCTTAACCACCAGTAAGTGCAATTCGATAAATCAAAGCGAGCTTCATGTGGCTTCACAAGCCTCGTGTTCTCCAAGGCTCCCCTTCTCTTCTACAGTGTGATGTCGACAATAGCTTGTACTCCCAGAGCAGCGAGCCATGATGCGCTTGGATGCGTTCTATGGGAGTACTGTTCATTTTGGTCGAGCTCAGTAATGATATACAAAACATGTCCTGCAAGAGATGCTCTTGCCCACTCAAGGTATTTAGGAAGGAGCGTGCCTTCCTTCTCTCCGGCTTCTTCCAGCACTTTCATTCAGCTTGGAAAAGTCCCAACTGTTTGACTCTCGTTTCTCATGAGTGCGTGACTCTGCCGGTCTATTTCATGCCCTCTCTTCTTCCGCCGTAAGCTGCCCCTACCTCGCATGGCATATAGTTGTGACCTGACCCCGAGGTTACTCTCTTTCAATATGTGACTGGGAGATATGACATGTCGCCTCAGATCAGATCAGGAGCTACATTGCCCCGATATTCCTCCTCCTGCTCATATTGCTTTTGCTTTCGCCATTGCCAGGTCGAAGCCACCTCACATCTCGGTTGATGGTAAGCGTTGTACTAGTCAGCTGAGAGCCTTCGCTAACGTTGAGCAGACTTTCTCGAGAGTCTCCGTGGTGCCATCGTTTCTGATTCTCATAGAAGCCTCCCGAAACAAGTCGACTTTGATGCAGACATGTACTGGAGAGCGTCTTACCAGAAAGCAGAGGCGGAACGCTTGAGGCTCCTCAACGAGTTGACTCAGTTGAAGCAAGAACGAGATCTGCCACTTCAGCCCCTTCAGGAGGCTCAGCGTTTCAGAGTACAGACCACAAGCAGCAAACGCAGGCGGGATACATCAGCGAATGAAACGAACAACAAGACCGGGAGTTATCACGACCTCGACCCCGATCTCGATGACGACGACATCAATCTGGACTTCAGCCATCTCAAGACGCCGAGTACTGGTATGTTGCTCAGCATTTGGTACGTGTAGTGTGCTGAATTCAACAAGGGCGTCAAGCATTTCTCCGCGGGTTCACCTCCCTGCGTCGCAGCCTCCTCCTTGAGAAGCCGGATCAAGAGATACTAGTGACAGCCATCCAGGTGACTAGCAAGTCGATATCAAGGATACTCTTGGAGGACATACAAGCAACTGTAAGGACGGGCGCTGGGCAGAAGAACCAGTACGTCAAGGAGATCTGTACCGCTTTCAAAACGGTCTATCCCACATTACTGAGAGGACTGGAACGCACACAACCGCAGGCACCTGATGAGGGTGACCAGTGTGTTCGGGGTCTCTCAGATGTGGTCAAGGTATTTCAGTCCTTCTTAGGACGACTCCACAAATTCGCCCTAGATGAACATGCGCGACGAGAGCTGGAAAGAACGTCAAAGAGAAACGGGAAGGGATCTGATTCCAGATCAGAAGAGAGCCAGGAGAGATCAGACCAACCACATTTACCCAAAAGCCCGGAGGATCTCGCGGAAGCCAAAGAGCTAGTTCGAGTGATGGTGAGAATGATGACAGCCCTCGATACCACCAAGGGCGCTCATTGCCAACTCTTGAAAGGATGCCTGTGCGCTATCCTTGATCACAGCGGCGCCACCTTGTCCCTCCTTGTGTTCGCGGACTCAGACAAATCAGACAAGAACCGCAAGACGTTCCTCCCACTTACCGGATTCTTGGACACTTTAGAGTTCAACGCTCAATCTGCGATTGGCGCCGCCGGTGTCGAAGGACCCTTTATCATCTTTATTCTGCGCAAAGGGATAGAATTTCTGCTTGCCAACGCGAAATGTATGCCTGAGAAGTCACTGCTCAACTTTACTTTGCTACCGTCTCAGGGGAATGATACTGGAGGTGACGGCGACCTCCGTAGAAAGATCGAAGAGACACTCCAGAACACCCTCCTGCGAGGAGTGTTCGGTGACGATGACGAGACCTTTTCCAACTCCCTCCAGCGCGACGAGGAAGAAGAGCAGGAAGCAGATTTAACAAAAATGGTGGAGGTTATCAAGCAGAGGGAGGATTCTGCGGAGTGGTTCATTGGTGAACTATGGGAGCATTTGGGCTGGAATATCCTATCTGGAAGAAGAGACATTTGAACCACGTTTGTTCATCATGCAGAGGAATCGGTAGATTCATGATGGTCTTCTGTCGCAGGTCAAGATTTGGTCAAGATTTGTGCGGCTTATCCACAAATCTTCTGGTGTAATAAAGGCTGGCGCCGATGCATGACCGGTCGGTAGAAGCAGCACCAGCTCATCCGTCGCTGAATTGCAGGGAAGTCCTATAAGTCAAGACCGAGCACGCTCACGGCATTTCCACCCAGTATCTTCCTCTTTGCTTCCTCCTCTTGTGATAAGCATCCGTCGATGGCGGCCTTGTTGCTCTCCACGCTCAGCCATTTACTGTCTTTCTCGTTGCCTAGTGGTGGGAAGAATGGATGATCAGTCCCAAACATTACTCTGTCCACGCTCCCTGCAGCCGTAATTGCTCCTTTCAACCCTGGTTGTCCATAGATGACCGCGTCAAGGTATATGTTCGAATGCAAGACCTCCCAGATTGACCGCTGAGGACCTTGTTTGCTCCCACCATTAGCAATGAATTCTCGTTCATGCGCTACACAAGACTCAAGTCGTCCCGCAAGAAACGGTATCGTTCCTCCCGAGTGAGCCAGCAGAAACTGCAATTTCGGATGGCGATCGAAAACCCCAGCGAGGTACATCCGCGACACAGCAATCGTCGTCTCCAGTGGAAATCCCAAAGCCAAGGGTAACACGTGGCCCGACCTCGCAACCACCTCGGGACCCCCAAAGGCAGAGTCGGGAAGGCCATAATGTGGATGCAGAAACACTAGTGTCGACGTGGAAGCCAGGGCGGAATACACCTCGTCTAGTTCTGGGTCGTCGAGGCCTTTTCCGAGACCTGTCGTACCCATGATGACGCCCTTGACGTGCTTCCGTGTCTTCAACCGTCGGATTTCACTGACGATGTCCTCTGAAGGTGCGGAGAGGGGCAGACAGCCAAAGGCATACAGCTTCAGACCGTCGTTTGAGGGCGACGCGTTGTTCTCGGCACTGGCGCTCTCGAGGTCATTGTTGATTTCTTGCGCGGTTGTCAATGCAGAGCCGGGGTCCAGGAAATCCAGCCACGGGTTCGCCAGACTGATCACACTGCAGGAGATTCCGTGGCGCTTCATGAACGCGCGTTTCTGGTCGAAGGAGGAATATGTGCTGTCGACGGGCCGGCCGCGGAGGGCCTTGGGACGCGACGGGTCATCGTCCGAGGCGAGGATGATCAGTCTTGGGTCTGGAGTGTCGGGGCCGTCTGATTCTGTGGGCTGGTAAATGTAGGGGACCGTGGTGCGCGAGGCGAGAAGTTTGATGTACGAGGGCGGGTACATGTGGGTGTGGATGTCGACGATGGGGTGCGAGGCTGACATGTTGGTGGACGTGCTCTTCCAAGACTACCTAGGTACTGATTGTGTTCTGCGGATTTGTATCAGACCACCTCGAGGCTCCTCAGCTTCCACAAGGCTCGTCTGTGAATCTACTCCGTACATTTCTGTGGGAAACCGATCTAACGGATATCGAAGCGTCTGAGACGGCGTCCTCCGCCACCATCGAGCACAAGCCCACCGCCACCCAACGCCCTCCAAAGCTTCTGTTCCTTATCCTTATCGGGAGGCTCACCCAATCGCATGCCGCCTGCCTTGATAGGGAAGGCTCGACCCCTCTCTTACTTCTGAACGAGCTCAGTCATCTCGACATCTTCCACGGCTTATATTCGACCTTGATTGTTGCTAAGATTAATCGGAGACTTAAGGCGCTGGCCTCTCCAAACCCTCTCACGACTCATCGCATTGGATCGCAGACGGGGACTAGCGGAAAAGGACGCCCGTCACCCCGTAGGCAAATCTCCGGCGATTCCCCCCCCTGCGTCACGTCACCCGCGAGACCAGGCCACGAGGGGAGCGACTCACACGTAGACGTCTCCTGGGCCCACCTCAGCCTCGTGGAAGATGGGTTCAGTCGCTGAGGTCGCCCAGAAGGGAGTGGAGCAGGATGACTTGGTCATGCCGGTACGTGATTTGGGCGGGTTGAGATAGTAGAACACCAGCACCACCTTCCCCTTTCACAGGGTCCCTAGGAGACTGCCTGCCCCTTTCATCCTTGAGGCATCCAGAACACACAGACACCACCTTCCCGTTTCGATCACTGACCAGTCACCTCTGCTGCCAGCTGATCGACTTTGGCACCTTCCTGCACGGCGATGCAACCGCCAAGAAGACGACCGCCGAGCAAATCTCCCACGCGTTCAAGACCTCGGGCTTCCTGTATCTGCAGAACCACGGCATCCCAGAGGACCAGGTCAAGTTGGCGTTCTCGGAATCGGCAGACTTCTTCAAGCGGCCACAGGACCAAAAGGACGGCTTGAAATGGACCACCCCGGACGCCAATCGCGGGTACGTGACCTGGGGTCGCGAGAAGGTCACGCAATCCGACGACCCGGACGAGATCGCCAAACTGCGCGCCTCCAACCCCGATCTCAAGGAATCCATGGAGATTGGTCGAGAGGGTGTGGAGGGCAAACCGAACCAATGGCCCGACCGGCTCGACGACGCAGGCAAGGTCTTCACGCGCGACATGCAGCGCTTCTTCCTCACCTTGAAGGATCTGCACGTCAACGTCATGCGCGCCATCGCCTTGGGCATGGGGCTGGACGAACACTTCTTCGACAGCTATACCGACGGAGGCGACAATACGCTGCGCCTGCTGCACTACCCGCCCGTGAAGAAGAGTGTCTGGAAAGCGAACCCGAACCAGGTGCGCGCGGGCGAACACTCGGACTACGGTTCCATCACGCTGCTCTTCCAAGACGAAATCGGCGGCCTAGAAGTCAAGTCCCCCAAGGGGACGTGGGTGCGCGCCACACCCATCCCCGGCACCATTGTCGTCAATGCCGGTGATTTACTCCAACGGTGGAGCAACGATACCATTCGGTCCACGAACCACCGCGTGATTCAACCGCCGCCAAAGGATGCGGGATCTGACGACGACGATCCCGACGCCCTCGTACCGGCAAGGTACAGTATTGCCTATTTCTGCAATCCGAACTTTGATCGCTTCATCGAGGCCTTGCCGGGCACATGGGATCCCACAGCCAAGCCGAAGTACCCGGGAATCAACAGCGGAGACTATCTGATCATGAGGTTGGCAGCGACGTATTGATAGGATGGCAATTAGAGCATGTCAAGACACAGTCGCGCAGCGAACGTAGAGGTCCAACTTTTCAACGGACAGGACGTGTCGCTACTGCAAGTCGCTAGCGAGACACTCGTACGAAGTACAAATGGGGGAGAGTACGGAGTATATATCTCGTAAGAGGGATACTCGGTACAGTGCCTACAACACTTTCCTCATTATTCTATTTCGTACCCCCACGTTATACGCGAGCTTGACTTGGACATGAACATAAAACACGAACATGAACATGGACATGAATGAATTTGACCTCGAAAGTGTACGTGAATTCATCTGAAACCTCTCCCTCAACCCCGAACCTGGTATATAGCTCGCCGCCGTGGTCGATACTTGGTAAGTAAACAGGATATAAAAGACAAGCTGGCACGCTGGACACCCAGAACCGAACAAAACACCCCCTTGAGCGGTAGGTATCCACACTAGAGGAGGACTGTACCGACTGTAGGCTGTCGGAGAGCTACAGTAAATCTGCACTCGACCCGTACAGACCGTCTATGCCTCCCCACCCAAAGGACTGCTCCGAGCGGCCATGGTCGCTGGACCTGGCCCACCCCCTCCGGGTCCATCACTCTGGAACCGGGCACCCGTCCTCGCCTCCTCGGGGACATATACGCCTGGACTGGGCTCTCTGTCACTGCCGCGCGCATATCCGCCGCGGCCGTCCCTGTCGCCTCGCAGTTTCGGGTCCATGAACCCACTGAACGCAGCGCTCCGGGGTCGCCGCGAGCCGAGCTCCCAGTCTTGGTCGTCCGACCCGTCAGCCCGGATCCCGACATCGACGCCGTAACGCCGCCTCTTGCCGAGCGCTGGTCTTTCGCGCCACCACCCCATACTGTATCGCCTCCCAGCGAAAACGCCCTCAAACTGCGTGGTGGAGAACCATTCCGCGCCATCATCAATGATCTGTTCGCGGTCATCAACTTCCTCGCCCTCGGCTTCGCCGTGCGTGCCACCCGTTTCCTCGGGTCGCGCATGGATACTCTCTGGCCGGTTGGTGAGGTCGGCACCGAATGACCTGCGGCGCGGTTTGCCGCAGCATTCGCAGAGGCCGTCGTCGGTGCTGTGGACGAGGTCACTGCCTGCGAGGAGGGACATGGTCCCCGCGATGGAGCACGGGTTGCACGGGAGGACTCGGTGGAATTTGGTGAGCAGGTAGGCGGAGGCGGAGAGGGCGGCCATGATGCCCAACAGAACTTGCAGGATGAGCTTCGAGTCCATGTCCTGCACGAGGCGCGGCGTGTCGATTGTGGTGGGCGAGGTCGTTGTTAGGGACGAAGATTGGCGACGCAGGACACGCGATGAGTCGGACAGGCTCTTCACCGGGGCGCGCATGTTCGCCGAGATGGCTTGCGCCATGTATATCTGGTAGAACCGGGTGATGGCGTCGACGAGGACGTCTTGATTATCTGGACCGGCGAGGGAGGCCGGCTCGTGCGGCGCGGTGCCATTGATGACGGCTTGAAAAAAGATGTCATACGTGGTGGTGCTGGACGGGTTTGTGGCGGGCGTGCCGCTGCCGCCGTTGAAGACGGTCATTTCCTGCGCGAGATTGTTCTGGATGCGGAAGTCGAAGGTGTTGACGCCGCTGTTGTTGGCAAGGGGGTTTTCGTGCAGGAAGACACTGCTCTCCTGCACGACCGGCGGGTGGTTGGGATCGATGGTCGTGCTGTTTGGCCGCAGGGTGACGTTGGCGCTCAAACCCTGGATCTCTTGGTAGCAGATCATGGTGGTGACTTGACTCTTGTCTTTGCTGTCGAGCTGGAAGTGGCCGAATGTGAAGGCTAAGCTGGGGCAGCCCACGGGAGGATTGTCCCCAATGTACTGGCCACGACGCTCCCCGTAGTTCCCATATGTGGTCGCATTCTCTCCAAATAAGAGGTCTAGTTGAGCACCTGCGTATGTACCTTTGCCGCCTGAAGGAAGCTCAAAGTTGTTCTCGTACAGGAAGAAATCGTCTGTGCCCCGGGTGCCGCCTAGATGGCAGGAATCGGGCAGGTTCGCACGGACGGTGACAAAGGCCTGATCAGTCGCATATCCCGAGCCAGATCCAGCTGCCTGCGTGGACACGCTGAAAGAGTCCGAGGAGATGACATCGCATCTGAGGTTGGCCCGAACAGCTGGAAGCAGATGCGACGCGGATCCCGTGACGGTTGTGAGTGTATCGGTCGTCAAGGCCGAGTTGTTCAACGCGAGCTTCGGAAACACAAGGCCTTCGTACGTAAACTGATGGTAACTGAAATTCTGATGCATAAGCAGGTTCATCATCGCGCCCGCTCCGTTGTCATTTGAGAAGCTGTCCGCCCACGTCAAGGCGAAAGAGTCGGTCTGCGTGAGCGAAATGGTCGGTCCATCGACCGAATAGTGCTGCACGTAATAAAGCCCGGAAGCAATGACTGTGAGGATACTGGCCACGGCAGTTGCTGCAATGCTCAGCATAGCTCCTAGGCTCCCGGTCCTCAGCGCCTGCAAAAACGCAAAAGGAGGAGACCTGCCCAGAATGTTGTTCAGAATTGACTTTCTGTGGACGGCACCGCCACTGGCAAGGTTGTGCCAGGGAGTAAAGAGGGCGACATTGAAGTCCAGCATGTTGACCAGCGCCGCCAAGATCAGCATCACAAGGCCTGGAATGTAGTGGCTGTAGACCTCAGTCCACTTGTCGTCCGCCACCGCGTAGAACCCGCTATGTTCATCGGAATTCCGCTGAATCAGCTCCAATGCCACGATGGCGCCCACCGGGAGAATGACTGTAATGATCACCGCCGGAAATGTCGCCGTCAATGGCCTCCACCATTTGAGATCCATGGTTGGCTGTGTGGCCGGCTCATCCAGCTCACCTTCTGAAACGACAATCTTGAAGCTCGCCCTCCCCGAATCCGTGGTTGCAATTGCCGTTCCAAACTCGTACCCTGTCAACGCCGTCTTCTGATTTGCGTAGCCTGGCGCACCCTGTTTCCGCAACAGTCTGTTCAGCTCGGTACTTCTGGCCAGAGTCGTCGCCACTGCCGCGATTGAGCTCGGGTCGCGTGGCACGACCGCTCTCGGTGCGATGAAGATGAGCGCGATGCAAAACAAGAAGAGCAGTCCACTTGCTGAGGCCATAGTCCACACCGAAACGTCATTGACACGTAACCTTTGTTCTTGCCGAGTCACCTTGCCTCCTACGACATCACTGTGGTCGGTTGCTCTCAAGTTCAAATGTGCGTACTGTGACATGATTCCCTGATACGTGTCCGTGGCAGCCTGCATTATCACGCTCGGATTGATCAGGGTATCAACATTCCGAGATCCGCGGGTCAAAGCCATCAACATAAATATTGCGCTCGAGTCCGAGATGGTATCGTCGTTGATCGTATCGCTAAACAGCACTTGCGCCGCCATGGATGCCTGTGAAAGGACGTTCGTCGCGTTCCAGTCTGAAAACCCTTCCAACGTGCCGTTGGTCCCGCCGTCCTTCAATTCGATCAATGCGGCCTGACTGCTGTCTAGCAGCTTGGTGTTGTTGATGAACTGGGCTTTCGTCATCATGTAGGAAGGCCTGCAGAAGACATTCGTGAGATTCGTGAGAGTCCTCGAAACATCACTCGCGATGGTGAAGGAGCCGCCTGCTAGATCTGTCGCGTTGTCGAAGAGGGCTTGCTGATAGGCTATGTCTGTGATGGTGAACAACAAACCTTGCGGCCCTGCTACATCCGGTACACTGGCGTTCGCCGTCCCACAGAAAACCTGTTGCATCGTGCCTGTAACCTGGCGCTGGGGAAGAATCTCAGTGAACGGATTATCGGCGGGCACGGTGACTGAAGAAAGCTTGCCGCAGACATCGCCTGCGGGGATATCGAAGGTGATATTGCTGGAAGTCGCGAACGCGCTGGCCGAATTTGTGTCGTTGACAATCCGGGGCGTGGTCAGCTGTGCATCCACGGCTTCGCACGACATGGTCGGCACAAAGGCATCGACTTCTCCTGAGATAGAAACGTCACCGTCGATTGGTGTGTCCGAAGTGACCGATATAGCACTGTATGCTAGCCTTAAAGTAACACCATTCTCCAGAGGCATTCCCTGAGCCATACTCCCATAGTAAGCATATACTGGTTGAGTGACACTGCTCGAAGAATCGAGCGCTGAGTTCGGGTTGAACGACGCTGCATCGAATCCATTTGCCTGGAGCGAACTCTCTTTCAGGGTCACTTGAGTCGGCAGAGCGAGCAACAGACCCGTCGCAAAAACCGTAACAACTTTTAGTAACACAAATCCGGTGATTGAGGTGATGACGGCGAAATGGCTGTTCTTGAACGCCTCAAACAACGCCACGAGCTGGAATTTCGAGATATAGTCCACCAGGAGACTCTCTGAGGTCTTGGTAGGTCCGTTCTGCAGGGCATCATATGGCATGGCCAATTTTGAATGGTGGTCGACCATCCTCCACGCAGCCACCACGAACACGACAATGATGGTGGGGGTGTAAGCCCATGCGTAGTGACTTGTCCCTTGATCGACGTGGAAGCCATCATTCTGACCATCGTAGTACCACAGCAGGACGAGGGCGACCAGAAAGCCAGCGAACACCAAGGCGAAGAGGCCCAGGAACCATTTCTTCAGCCAGACCGGAGTCCAGAGAGGCGGAGTCGGTCCTGGTAATACTGGGGGAAGCAAACGGCTGTCGTCCTCCTCGGCGACTGCCGTGTATGGCCGAAGTTTGATCGACTCTGGCTCATCCTCTTCCGGTACTGGCGAGATCTGATGATATTGGGAATTCTCGATTCTTGGTTGGAAACTTGGAGCGAACTGTCGTGCTATCGGGGCTGCGTGTATCGAGGGGAATCTGCTGGGAAATGGCACCTGCAGTTGGGCGACAGGAGGTGGTCGAAAGTCTGGCGACGGATCTCGAGACTCTGGAGATGAGTGTCGGGTGTCAGCGAGGAGTCGCTCGGAGCTGTCATCGCGGGCTCGGGCTGCCTGGGCCCGTTCGGCTTCCGTGATGGGGATACTGAGGTATCCGCCTGGTCGACTGGGTTCCATGGTTCAACGAAGATGCGTGCGGCGACATTGTCGTGTGTTGTCCATCAGTTCATCGTTGTCTCCCTCTCACTTTGTTTTTGTGCGAAGACAATGTGAACCCAGCAGTCCGGCGACGAAAAATCGATGTTCAGGCCAGAGGTCGGAATTGGCTTCGACCAAGCGAGGATCCGGACTGAGCGACCTCAGCCGCAGAAAATAGCACAGGAACACCAGGCTAGCTACCTGGTAGGCACGCTCCGTGCTCCGTCCAGGAGGCCGATTCGAGGCCTCCGCAGAGCCTAGGGAAGCCCAACGCGCCCAGCAAGGACGAAACACAGCCTCCTGCTCTTCTCAGCAATTGGTCTGCATCCGGTTTAGCGACGCCCAATCTGGGCCTCTCGGAGCCCTTTCACCCTCGCTCGCTGTTTCAGGCGCGCGACAGCCACACCGTGCAGAACCGTGGTGAACACGCTGTGGGCATGAAGGCGCAGAAGGTTTCCATTGCGTGACTGCTTCTTCTGCGCAGCGTCCAAGGCTGCGCCTCGTCAGCTCCCACACAGTGCGACTATGTAAATACGCATGGCCTACTCCGTACGGCGCTGCCACTGCCGAGGCGGTGCTTTGCTTTTGTCGTCTCATGCACTACGAGTAGGCCTTGGGCATCTCGTCGCCGCGAACATCCCAGGTGTCGCCGTCATGTTTTGGGACAAGGGCTCCATCCGGGTTCCAGGGCACGGACAGAGTAATCGGGTCACGCAGCGCGTTGTACGAGGTATTCTTGCATCCATCAGACTGCCCATGCACATGACAGCAGTTCACCCGCCGAGACAGCATTAGAGGCCCAAAGGAAGATGTCGTGCAGTGTACGAGTTTGCTAATTCAGGCTTGTGACGTCTTACAGTACTAAATACTCGCATCAGAGGATGCGGCCACAGACCGAAATGGCCTCAGCTCCCATGCTCCTTCCTTGGCAGGCACGTTCAGGGCAGAAAGCATGTTGTATGTACTTCGTACTCTCCGGCGCCGCAGATAAGGAGAATCCTGCCCAGCGGGCCTCTGCAAACGTTCCTGCCCAGGCACACCAGGATCATGGATCATATGCAGGACCCGAACAGTGACTCCCACCGAGACTCTTGCCTCGTGGCCAAATTGGGACCATCCAGCCACTTGCAGCATTGAGGAAAACTGTGTACCTTGGTAAAGCCGTCATGAAAATACCACAGCTCCAACCCGTATTCATGAAGACGCCCGCCCACTTTTTCCAACGCCGTACCATCCAGGTACTTCCAGCGCCACATTGCTCCTTCCCAATGCGCCGCTAAAGTACACCATTCAGAGCCACTTTTGGTCCCTATCCCGTCCGTGTGACAGGACCGGCAGAGATATGCCAGTCTCTCCCTACACTATCATCTGCGCGACTCCCTGTCCACCAAGCGTCTTGCTCCCCACGAACTCCTGCTGCTTCAGCCCTGCCAATGCGTAGCATGCTCCCGCAAGAGCCAGCACCACGGCCGCTGCGATCAAGGTGCTCGTATCGACGATGAGGCTGAGCCACTGGACCAGGGACATGACCCCGTAGATGGCGGCTCGCATATAGTTCGTCGTGAATCGGCGGATGAAGGCGTCGAATTTGGCCGAGGTAGGACAGATCCGTAGCAGGAGAGGGATTTCGATGAATATGAGGATCAGGGCGGAGCAGCTGCGCAACGAATGTCAGAAAACGTCTGTCAGTCGAGCGGGGCTGGTCCTGATTGAGACGTACAGGAGTAGAACGCTGAATAGAATGAGCAGGTTAAAGTGGAAGATGTTGGCGATACCCAGGGCAAACCCCAGGAGAATGCATACTACTCCGAGCCTGTTGAGCCATGGTCAGCGTCCTCTTCATGTCGCCACGATTATTTGTTCTGTAAAGAGATGACTTCGCATGTCGCTCTCGAAGAGCAATAAAGAGAGATGTTCGGCAGCGATTTTCTGACCTACGCCGTGGAGCTCGTGAGGAGTCTTACCATTGACCGTAAATGCCTGCGGCAGTCGTAAGCTCACGCCCAGCGCATTCCTTTGAGACAACACTTACTGAAATTCCGCGACCTGAATTCTTCGGCTAGTGTCATGGTGCTTCACTGCCGCGATGGTGACCAAGCTCTTTATCCGTGGACGGTCGGAAGAGGACAGATGTCGCAGGACGTCGGTTGCGGTGCGCCTGAGTTGGCGCTGCGGATGATGCGGAGAGACGTGTCGCTAGCCTATGCCCCAGACGTTGTGTGCGCAGGTGAGATGCTCGTGGAAGAGATGCAGAGGTGTGTCCAGCTGATGTTGTGTCGGTGCAGAGTTACTGGGATTGTCTGGTTGTGAGTTCGAGATTGAGATGTTGTGACGGATGCAACGCGAAAGCGAGACAAGGATCACGGAAGCCGAAGTCCCTAGTTGGCGCAAGGGCCCTCGCAAGCAGGATCCACCCAAGATTCAGAGTCGATCCAGATTTGAAGTGCACTCTGACAGCCAAGCTGTGTGTCCAAGTGCCACGGTCTTCGAGCTGTGGATTTATGGATGGCGAGAGAGGTTTATGAAGTCCTGAGAGGGAAACTTAGGAGCCTGGATTCGGCTAGGATCCAACAGCATGTGGCGCCATCAGCACGAGCATCGGCCACGCACGCTGGGTGCTTGTCAGACCGAGAGAGACAGCGTTGACGCCACTCGGGAAAAAGGGTGACCATGGGAAATGTTGCAGCCTTGTCAACAGTGTGATTGTCCTTCCACATCTGCCTGGTACTGGTTCCCCTTCTATCGTCGCAGCATAGTATGAGCGGCATCACCTCCCTCATGCCACCGTCGCTCCACGGTCGAGAACTTTACATGCAGACTCGGGTACCCGTTTGCTTCCAATGCTGCGCCTTCCGCAATGCACGCTGACCGCCCCTCGTGTGCTCCAACCTCAGCCCTCTAGAAGATTGATTTTCAACCGCCACGTGGAATGCAGCTGCGAGACTCTCAGCTTGCAGCGTAGACCACTATCGACACAGGTCAGCCACGTCCCATTTCGAATCGATTCCTAGATTGCACATACATCTGAAGACGTCGTTGAAGACGAAGTAGCTGCCACCTTCCGGGACCAAGCTGAATGTTTGAACGTAGCTCATTGGATGTTGTTGGTCGTCAACCTGTATTGCCCATCTCGTCAGACTGAAGACAACCGAAAGACCTAGGGATATCTGCTCCCAGAATCCACATACCATCAACGCGCCAGTCACCAAAACTAGAATACCTCCCTGCTCGTTGAATGGTTGCGCATCTGTCGTATCAATCCGGTGTTGGACTTTCTGGAACGGGAGGTTCTGCACAACGAATCCTCCTGTTAGTCCTTTGTCTCTCGCCATGTTACTCCTCGGAATCCGGGTCCACGATGGTCAAGGTGATTACCCACCGTCAGCTTCTCTAGAATGCTCTGTGTTCCCATGAACTGTTCCTTCTCGAAGGTGAGCATCGACTTGTCCCTCTGTGTCCTCATCTGTTAGATATCGTGTTCCTCGTTCGACGCCAAAGCACCCAGGGGATCGTGCGCAGACGTACGTAGAGGGCCGCCAATTGTGTGCGGTCGGAATCAAAGGTCTTGTAGTAGAACTCGACAAATTGTTCTACCGTCGCATTAGGTCTCCTGACACTGGTAGGTTTCTAGCGATGAGGGATACGTACGAGCGATGGTTGCGAAGTCTGCACATGTCCAAGTTAGCAGAGAGTCCCAAGGATGACCCCTGGCCGGTACGAATGGGGATCACAACGGGAGGAGTGCGCGGAAGGGTGACACCTACCTCCCATCTTGACGGGCTTCAGAGACAGTGTTCAGAACTGCGAGGAGAGCTAAGTCACGCAGAGGTTCCAAGGTTATCTTCGCGCCGCCGGGTGCTTGCTGGCCAGAAAACAAACACAGGGAAGAGGAAAGAACCACTACCCCGCCGACAAATTACTGGGGCGACCATCTCTGGCGCGGGCGGTGTCAGGCGCCGTCACGTGTAAAATGCCAAGCAAATCGGAGATTGTACAAAGTTCGCTTTTCTTCATCTTCATTTTCTCCGTTGCACTTTTAACCTCGCATCCTCTGTTCAACCGTACAGCGGCTGAGCTGATGGCTGAACTGTAGATGAGCCATATCTCATCAAGAGCCTGCTGCCTGCATACTCTGTTCAACCGTACAGCGATTGAGCTGGTGATTTGCCTATAGATGAGCCATGATATCAAGAGCTTTCGCTGCTTGCGTCCTTTTAACACAGACTCGGGAATGGGCTGTCCAGCAAACAGTGTGCCAGTGTGCCAGTGTGCCCTGGACAATGTGCAATGTTGGTATGTTCACCTGTTTTCCTGTTTCTCTCCCCTTTACTCCGTACACAGCTCCGATGATTTTCACCTATATGCTCAAACGATAACTGCCGAGGCGACTGGCCCGTCAAAGCTGGTCGTCGGTGACTTCAAAAATTTATGTCAAGTCTCAACAGTATGAGGAGCCTCATCACTCGTTTACGTTTTGGTATTTCCGAAAACCAGTGGATGAAGTTATGCTGACTCCTGCTGGCTTCTAGTCTTCGGTCCGCTGCTGTACAGGTCTTCCACAGGACCAGATGAATGATGATGGTGGTGATGCCGTACATAGAACCTCTACTAGGCTTTGGACTTGTAAACAAGTTTTCATTTCGATTACCAGATTTTCCTATTGCCAATGCTAGGCATGTGCTCATCACCTGGATGGCCTCGTTTCAAAAGCATTGCTATCCCGATGCCATTCCCTTTCCCAATGCATCTCATCTCTTCGTGCTGGTTCTCATAGAGCATTAAATTATCCTCTCTTGCCCCTTCCACTTCCCCTCTCACCTCGTTCACCCTCCCTTTTATGCCACGGATCGGCCGGCCAGACCCACCCTCTCACTGTTCTTGCCTCCCGCTTCTCACCCATCTGCGGCTCAGGAATCCACTTGTCCTTGCCATCCTTGCCCAACTCCTCGACGTCGCCATCCTCATCAATGCTTAGGACG